ATCCACGCCTCACTCCCACCCTCCACGCCTCACTCCCACCCTCCACGCCTCACTCCCACCCTCCACGCCTCACTCCCACCCTCCACGCCTCACCCTCCACGCCTCACTCCCACCCTCCATGCCTCACTCCCACCCACCACGCCTCACTCTCCACGCCTCACTCCCACCCTACACGCCTCACTCCCACCCTCCACGCCTCACCCTCCATGCCTCACTCCTACCATCCATGCCCAGGGGCGGATCCAGGGGGGGTGCAGGGGGTGCGCCCCCCCTAAAAATTTTGAGTTGCCCTTTTTTCTGGCCCACGAAAAAAAAAATTCTCCAATTTTTAAAAAAGTAATATAGATTTTTAAGCAGAAAAAATACTGAAAAATAAGTGGATGTTTTCCGAGAAGTTTTTTAGGGGGGACGGGGGGCCGACCTGACTTGTTTTCTGAGCTGCGACAGATCGCCGCCAGGCTGTGCCACCGTTGATTGCTTTGTTATAGACTGGTACCCGGTTGCCAGTGTCGCCTAAGTCAGTGTATCGAAGGCAGAGTACTTGCCGGAGTGAAGGTGGCGAACGCCGGGTACCAGTCTATGTCGTTGCTACGTCCACGCGCGCGGCCCTAGCAACCATGTTGCTGCAGTTATTACAGCAGCAGTATTTAGCGTGCTACTGCTGCAGTGCTTCTGTAATAACTGCAATAACTGCTTATTTCCTGATGGATATCGCCGTCTGCTATCATCCGAGCTGAAATGGTCAGACCGGTACAGAAATCGCGATGGTCGTTAGCGGCGACCATCTGAGATGCCCAATAAACAGCGTCTGAAGAGACAGCGAGATGCTGACAAGCTGAAGTCGGCCGCAAAATGTCAGAAAATCGGGCAGTTTTTCAAGTAAGTTATTATATTTCAGTTGTAATTTTTGACTGGCTGTGTAGTCTGTGTGGCGGCTGTTTACTTGAAACGAGCAGGAAAAATTACCATTGCCATTACATGTACTAGCTGCTATCGCCAGTTTAAGTCCCTTTTGAGCTTTATTTTATTGTTGCTTGTTAGCAAGTTGTGGGCTACACTCGTAGAGCTGTAGTTGCTTATGTGCTATTTTTGATGAGGTTGCTAAATTAAGTTCAGGTCCAAGCCTGGTTACTGTAGAAATTTCTCGTAGGGCCTATATATAAGCTATGGCATGTAATTCTGTGATGGCCTGGAGGAACGTTGCGTTTTTAGAAAAATCAATGTTTTCCCTTTTTTATTGCTGTTGGAACTCTGTATAGACTGTAAACTGTAGTAAAAATATGTTCATTGTTTTTATTTTTATTTTGCAGTCGTGCAGAACCTGCCGTTGAATCTGGTAATGAAACTGCCAATACAGCGATACCTACAACTGTTCACAAAACTGCTGATGTTCCGGCACCTGCAACTGTTCACAAAATTGCTGATTTATCTACAAGTCCGTCTTAGAGAGAGAGAGAGAGAGAGGGAGAGAGAGAGAGAGAGAGAGAGAGAGAGAGAGAGAGAGAGAGAGAGAAGCCGCCCTCCACCGCTAGCATAACACGTTCATAAACAATAGATTACATGATGTTTACCTACTTACAGCCGTGGCCTGAAATTCTAATCGAAACGATCTTTAGAAAAACCGAGTTACATCTTTGAACTATATCTTTGGATTATATTAATTTTAATAAAAACGGAGAATTCCAGTTTATTTTTATTTTATTCAATTATATTCAATGAAATAATACCTTTTCTGAATCATGCAGTAAAAACAGCCCTATACAACATGAGGAAAAAAATATACAAAAATTACAATACATTATGTACAATAATGTAATTAATGTAATTATGTACAAGTAAAGTGATTAATGTATACTTTAAGATCATTTCGACATCATATACATACACACAAAATAATGAAAGTTCTATTAACAACGATATTTATAAAAACTGAATTAAACTGAAGAACTCTATCTTGGGATTATATTAAATATAAATTATTTAATATTTATTTATTAAATATTATTAATGATTTATAGTACTGTCAACCTTCTAACCCGATATATAAGTTTTGTTCGATATCTGTTGATATAATCGAATAAATAGCCAGATATCTCTATCATTGCAAAATACACTAGTACCGCGAGTGACCTAAGTTCAAAAACACAGTCATAAGCGGTTTGTTATGATTATTCTGATCAACATATCGAATCAAATCGAACATATTTATGCCTAAATGTGAGAGCTACTTATAGTACTAGCATCCTTCTAACACAATACATAAGTTTTGTTTGATATCTGTTGATATAATGATAATCGAATAAATCGCCAGAAATTGCTATTATTGCAAAATCAAAATGTACTAGTAATGTCTCAGTATGAGTGCTGTACGAGTGACCTAAGTTCATAAACGCTGTCATACGCGGTTTGTTATGACTATTCTGACCAACATATCGGATACACTGTCTTTTGGAAATGTAAAAAAGTCCCTATTTTTATATTTGGAATTTGAGCAAGAAACTGCAGAGCAATAATGCGAGTGTGCGGCCATTTTGTTGGTTAGAATAACTGCGCTTGTAGACTATTGTAGCGAAACCGATTTAAATACTGACGATATTATACGTGTCGTGTCTTGTTATTTTCAGTCTATGGGTTGACACCGTACAAGTAGGTCACAGGCAAGGAGCAAAAGATGAAAACAAAACGAGAGAGATAGAGAGTGAGAAAGAGCGAGATAGAAAAAGACAGAGCTAGAAAGGCAGAGAATGCGGGAGAGAGAGAGCGAGTGAGAGAGCGAGATGAGGAGAAAAATGAGATAGAGATATAGAGAGTGAGAGAGCTGGGGAGATGGAAATAGAGATAGGGAAAGAGAGCGACAGGGAGTGCGAGAGAAAGCGAGAGAGAGACGGAGAGAGATAGATAGAGAGAGAGAGAGAGAGAGTGAGAGAGAGAGAGAGAGAGAGAGAGAGAGAGAGCGCACAGCACGACGTGATGCGCCCCACCTGCGGAATTCGCCCCTGGGACATGGATGGAGTAGGAGTGAGGCATGGAGGGTGGGAGTGAGGGGGAGGTGGGAGTGAGGCATGGAGGTGGTAGTGAGGCGGGAGGGAGAGGCGGGTGGAGGGTGGAGGTGTGGTGTGGGTGGGAGTGATGGCATTGAAGGCGGGAGTTGAGGCGTGGAGGGTGGGAGTGAGGCGGGGCAGAGGTGGGAGTTGAGGCGTGGAGGTTGGGAGTGAGGCGATGGAGGTGAGGCGTTGGAGGGTGAGGTTGATTGGTGGGTGGGAGTGAGGCATGGAAGGCGGGAGTGAGGCGTGGAGGGTGGGAGTGAGGCGCGTGGAGGGGTGGGGAGTGAGGTGTTGGAGGGTGGAGGAGGTGTGGAGGGTGAGGTGTGGAGGGGTGGCAGTGAGGTGTGGAGGTGTGGGAGTGAGGCGTGGAGGGTGGGAGTGAGGCATGGGGGTGTAGTGGGACGTGGAGGGTGAAGGGCGTGGAGGGTGGCAGCGTGAGGGTGAGGTGTGGTGGGTGGAGAGTGAGCTGGAAGCATGAGTGAAGCGGTGAGTGGAGGCGTGGAGAGGTGGGAGTGAGACGTGGAGGGTGGGGATGAGGGCATGACTGAGGAGGATGGGAAGTGGGTGAGGCATGGAGGGTGGGTAAGTGAGGCAAATGGAGGGTGAGGGAGTGAGGCGGGTGGAGGGAAAGTGGAAGTGGGAGAGGCTGGGTGTGAGGAGGGAAGGGACTCCGGGAGGGGTGATAGCGTGGAGGGTGGGAGTGAGCGTGGTGGGTGAGCGCGTGGAGGTGGGGTGTGTGCGTGAGCAGTGGGAGTGAGGCGTGAGGTGAGGCGTTGGGATGGGAGTGGCGTGGAGGGTGGGTGAGCGTGGCAGAGTGGGAGTGAGGCGTGGATGGTGAGGCGTGAGGATGTATGGTGTTACGCGACATTCTGAAAGCTTCCCGGAGAAACCGTGTCGATTATTCGATGATTGATTCGATTATTTAACTGCATTGCTGGTCTCATCTTACACGAACCAGAGCCAATGTTAGCGGCAGCAGCAGTAGCAGCAGCAGAAGCAGCAACAGCAGCAGCAGCAGCTGTAGCAGTAGCAATATCAGTAGTAGTAGCAGTAGCAGTATCAGTAGTAGTAGTAGTAGTAGTAGTAGTAGTAGCTAGTAGTAGTAGTAGTACGTAGAAATAGTAGTAGTAAGCTCAAGTAGTAGTAGTAGTAGTAGTAGTGTAGTAGTAGTAGTAGTAGTAGTGAGTAGTAGTAGTAGTAGTAAGTAGTAGTAGTAGTAAGTAGTAGTAGCAGGCAGCAGCAACAGCAACCAACAACAAACTGCAATTGGCAGCAACAGTAAACGCAGTAAGCAGCAGCAGCAGGGTAGGCAGCAGCAGCAGCAAGTAGTAGCGAGCAGTACGATGCAGTAGTATAATATATTATATTATATAT